GTAGTGGCTATAGCAGATTTTAGAGGTTTTCTTTGCCTCCCGTAAAGCTCTATGTAACTTGAGCGCCTTGAATCTAATCATTTATCCCTGAATTGTAGTATTTGGCTATTGACCAGGACATTATGATGAATTGTATGTAAAGTTAGTAATTGTGATTCCTTTTCCCCAGCAGACCATTGGAAGTTGCTACTATGGCCCCTACTTGCATTTTTGGGTGACTTTCAATGCTCACCTCTTCTATTCAGTGAAACTGAAGGTCCACCCGTGGGGACAAGTGTTCATGTGCCTGTGTATACCTGCTCTGGTCTCAGAAACGAGCTGTTCAAGGCCTTGCCTTCAGAGCATATCTCAAAACTTTGGGGATTTGTTTTCAATTACACTTTCTCAAGATGTCTTGTTTCCTTATCTTGACTCCCTCCCTCCCCTTCCGTCCTTTTTAACTCTAAAAATGTTGACACAGCTTCCTCTTTTCCATCTACTGAGAAGCTAGGTCATATTCATTTCTGACCTACCTTTAGCCCACTCTCAGGGAAGGCTTATCATGCTTGATCTGACCCTCGGCAGGATTCCCCAAACAAATGACCGCCCCAGAGGGTCCTGGGTCCTGTGCAAGGTCAGAAACTTGGGAGCTCTTCATTTCCTTATTTCACAGTGCTCCTCTTGCTCTGGTACACATGTCCTTTACCAGCTCTGGCATTACCTTTGCAAAATGCAATCCATACAAAGGATCATACTGCAATTTGTAGTAAATGCCTAAAATTTCCGGTAGATGATGTGTTTTGCAAGCATTCTTGCTGGAGCAGCCTTTCCAGCATGCTGGGATCTGGGAGCAGGCTGGTAGTGGTAGGGGTAACTGGGGTACCTCTTGTTGGCTTCTCTGCTTTTCAGGGAGCTGAGGAAAACCAAACAGTTTGAGAGCATGGTCAAAGGGCATCTACAAGGTGTGGCTGCTCTGGGAAAGGTGAAAGCTCAGAGCAGGACACGCTGTTCACTTTTCTGAATTCCTGGGGCTTGAGCTCACGCTCAGGCTGTGTGCCTTCATAGCCCATGAGCTTTCCCCATGATTTGGATTGGCTGCTTTCCCAGCAGGCCAGGTTGGCATTCAGTGCTACAAGACAGATGGCTCTGTATTGGTTTCTTTGGGCTGCTACAACGAGGTACCACAAACTGGGTGGCCTCAAACAACAGAAATTTATTGTCTCGTAGTTCTGAAGACTCTAAGTCCCCAGTCAAGGTGATTATCCCCAGTCAAACCAAGCAGAGCCATGCTTCCACTGAGACTCCAGGTAAAATCCCGTCTTTCCTCTTCTTAGCTTCTCGTGGTGGCTGTTGATTGTTGGCATTCCTTGGCTCGTAGCTGGGTCACACTAATTTCTGCCTTTTTATCACCTGGCCTTCTCCTGCTGTGTCTCTGCGGCTTCTTATAAGAACATCAGTGGCAGTTACTTTTAAATGGAAGGGAAGACTGTAATCTGGGAACAGAGAGAAGGGACAAATGTGAGACAAGTCACTTATCAAGAGTGCACCTAAGCCTGTCAGGGCATGATGAAGTGGTCGGAGGCAAAGTGGCAGGTGCCCAGGCAACTAACATTTATCTTCCCAGATGATGTTTCACATCACACTACTGCTTACAAGGAAATCAAGGAGCATCTTTCCTATTTCAGGGCTTATGATTGAAAATTTCATATTTTGCAAAACTTTTTGAAAATTTCGTATTTTGGGAAATTCTAGAATGAAGGAAGAAGCTTAATACCTGAGTCTGACTCCAAATGTAAGTCGAAGTTCACTTTTATCCATATGTAGATACGCTTGCATCCATAGTGTGGTAGGTTTGGTAGGTGGACTAATAGCTCCCCCAAAAGACATCCACATCCTAAATTCTGGAGCCTATGAACGTTAACTTCCATGTCAGAGACTTTGCAGATGTGACTAAGGATCTGGAGGGTGGAGAGATTATCCTGGATTATCTAGGTTGGCTCTAAATGCCACAGTACGTGTCCTTATAAGGGGGAGGCGGAGGGATTTCTCAGACAGAAGAGGCTATGTGAGGGAAGCAGAGTCAGACACAGAAGATGCTAGCTATGTATGTTGGCTTGGAAGATAAAGAAAGGGCCGTGAGCCCCTAGAAAAGGTAAAGAAACAGATTCTCTCCTAAATCTTCTGGAGAAAGCATAGCCCTACTGACACCTTGATTTTAGCCCCTTATTTAGCCCCAGGCTCATTTTGAAATTCTGACCTCCAGAATTGTAAGAGACTAAATTTCTGTTGTAAGTCACCAACTCTGCGGTGCCTTTGTAAGAGCAGCCATAAGAAACTTACAAACAAGAGTATGATGCCTTGAATTTAAATTAAAAAATATAACTCTTTCTGAAAACTTAACATGATGAGGACGGAGTAATATACAGATTTGTTGAATCACTCTATTGTACACCTGAAACTGATATAACACTGTATATTAATTGTACTGAATTAAAATAAAAAGCTGAATAAAATTAAAAAATATATAACTCTCTCTACATAAAGACATAGAGACATCAAGACTTGAAGACAATACAGTAAAATCTTTAATAGCGGCTAACTCTGATGGTAGGATTATGAGTGATTTTTTTTTTTTTTTTGGTCACTACTATGATTTCCTAAATTTGCCAAGATTTCTAGAGAAAATCTAACAGGTTCTTGATTCTTTTTTCTATTTTTTTTAAAGTTAAGGGAATATTATTCAATCTTAAAGAATCTTAGAACTCTTAACACACGCTGCCCCATGGATGAAACTTGAGGACATTATGCTCAATCAAGTAAGCCAGTCACAAAAAGACAATACTATATGATTCCACTTTCATGAGGTACCCAGAGTAGTCAAATTTATAGAGACAGAAAGTAGAATGGTGGTTGTTGCCAGGGGCTGCGGGGGAGGGAAGACTGGGAGTGGTTGTTTAATAAGCATAGAGTTTTAGTTTTGCAAGATGAAAAGAGTTCTGGAGATTGCACAACAATGTGAGTGTGCTTAACAGGACTGAACCATACACTTAAAATTGGTTAAGATAGATTTAGACCACATTTAAATTTTTTACAGTTCATCTACATTATAAAAGGAGAGCTTCAGTGATGCCCTTAAAAATAAATATGCAGTACGTGATGTGATCTTGGTTATATGAGGTTGTGTCTTCTCTGCACCTTTTAAATTCCTTTATAGCAGCTGGGGCCACCTCTCCACATGAGCTTTAGACTCGTCGCCTGCCATTCATTTCTCTATCAATTCCCCTGTTTTTGCTTTTGTTTTTATTCACTCTGCGTGGTCTTTCTCCTCTGCCTATGAACATGTCCAAGTTTTTCAGGGCTCTGTTAGATCTCTTGAGAGTATGCTAATCAATTGCTCCTTTTTGAAATGCTTATTTTTCTGGCTTTTACAAGGTAGTCTGTATATTGCACATACTCTTCTTACAAAAAGACACGCACTTCAAAACACTCCTCTGGTATTACTGATCTCTGGTGTCTTTCCAACATCCATACACCAGGGATGTAGGTGCAAGACAGGATGACTCCCTTTTTCTCTCCCACCCCCACATACAATTAGTCATCACAGGTGACTAATTTTTCCTCCTATATATTCTTTTAGCCCCATCCCATCTATAGTTTCAGGCCCTCAGCCTGCCTTGTCTGAATATACCAATAGTTCAGTCTTGCCCCATCTTCCACGCTGCAAGCAGAATGATCCATTTATATTGTAAAATTTCCCATGCTATTTCCCGCTCTAAAGCCCTTCAATTACGGTGCACACCCTTCAGCATGGCACCCAACACCTTCCATGACATGGTCCCTACCTGTCCACACAGACCCTCCATCCACCAGTCCCACAGCTCAAGTCATCTTTCACGACCAACTACGTTCATAACTTGCTGTGGTTCTCCAGCCATTTCTGGGCCTGCTGCCTCTCCTTTTCTCTGGCTGGAGAGTCGTGAATGGAGTTCTCCATTTCACTGAACTAATACACAGCCATTTTTCTGCATTCAGCTTAGGTATCATCTCCCCTAAGGTACTTTCACTTTCAGAGTCCTCAGTGTTCCCATAGCACCCTGGGAACAGGTTGTTGCCTTAACAGGTTATTTATATAGAAGTTAACTATTTATGTGTCTGCTTCCTCACTAGCACTTAAGCTCTTTAAGGGCTGGGACCATCTTTCAAGTCATTTTGGTGTTCCGAGTATCTAGCACAGTGTCTGGCACATGTAGGCACACAATTGGTGTTGATTAATTAAAATAATTAGTAATAAACACTTTTGCTGAAAGATTATATCCATAAGCCACAAAACATTTAAAGCCCTTTTCTCTGACCACCGTTGCTTTAATTATAAATTTTCCTGGCAGAGACGAATGGAATTTTGATAAAGAGGACTAAGATCTCCGGAGGTCATACATTTAATTTTTCCATTAAAATTTTGACCTATTTATTTTAGCAGGGCCTATATTCGGGGGTGGGGTGGGGCGGAATCTTTGACCTCTACCATCCTAATGCCCAGGGCTGAAATGAAGTAGCCTCACAAATATTACGTTCTGCACTACATATACCTGTTTGGTACTTAGAGTTTACAGATTTGGCCTCAAAGTAGATTCGCCAGTGATATTTGCTATCTTCCCTTGACTGGCCAATGCCTTTGGATGCATTCTAGGACGGTGCAGAGCGGAGCCCGTTCCCAGGCGAACCGACATGGAAAATCCGGCTTAACCGTATCTAGGGGAGTTCTCAACTTCCTCAGGCTGCGTGCCCCTCCTCGCGGGTCTACCCGCCCTGGAGCAGCCCCTGGTACGGCCGCCCCGGTCGAAGTCGCAGCTTCCCTCCTCAGGTCACCCACCCCCAGGACGCCGGCTCCCGCCCCCCGTGAGCCCCTGAGCCCGGGCCACCGAGGTGGCCGCCGCTGGACAGCAAAGCGGGCGTCACGTGCGCGCGCCGCGTCCACCGCCCCCGGACCCGGGCCCGCCCCCGCCCCGGCCGCGGGGCAGAGGCCGTCGGATCACGCGCGCCCCGCCGGCCCGGGCCGGGCCAGCCAATGGGCTGGCGGCGCCCGCATGACCCGCGCCGGCGGGAGGGCGTGGGGAGGCAGGCCGGGCGCGCACGCTGCCGGGCTGTACCGCCATCCCCGCTGCCGCCCGCACGGGAAGTGAGCCGCCGGGAGGGTCCTGCGGCCGCCCGCACCCGGGGCGAAGCATGGCGGCCGCCAAGGTAAGCGTCGGCCCGTTGCCCCGGGGCGCGCGTGCCGGCCGCCGGGGCCCCGGGGCTCGGGAGCCTCAGGCGTTCACGTGCCGAGTTGGTGCAAGGTGGAAAACAAAGAGAGGGGCGCGGGGCAGCTGTTCCACCTTGCATCAGTGGGCGAGGGGAGGTGACCCCTCCTCCCGGGCAGCACATGTGGCCTGTGCGGGGACGGAGGCCCGACCTTGCTGTAGGAAACTTTGCCGGCCGAACCCTCCCACTTGGCCCGGGAGGGGAGTCGGTGCCTGGTTGGCGCCCTGCGGGCTGAGCCAAGGTCGGCCTGGAGAAGCCCGGTGGGCCCGGGGTCGTCAGAGCCCCTCGGCCACCCTAGAGCGCACCTGCTTCTGACCCCGGTTGTTGTTGACTGGGGCTTCTTCCCGGCAGCCCGGGCTGAAGCCTGATCCTATTAGGTTTCAAAGGCCCCGCCCTCCCGCGGTGGGGAAGTCACCTTGACTTCCGTTTTGGAGGCGGCTCGGAATAGTTGGCTTGCGTGCGCGTGTGTGTAAGAACTCCAGAGGACCACTCTCCCACCCCCACTTCTCATCCTTCAACCTCCTCTCCCCATCTGACAACACTTACATACCGGCCTCTGAGCGTTTGGGAGGCTTCTTTTCAGAAATGACAAAACAGATTGTTCTGGGAGCCTGTAACTCTTGTGATGTTTTACTTAAAAGGAATTCTGCGTAATGTGAATCATTCACTAACCCAGAGGAAAGGCAACTCCGGCAGCTTGACCTTTACTCTTTCACCGTTTTTTTGAAACCTGGACACCATTTCAGTCTCTTTGGACTCCATTTCAACTTTTCTGACAGAATACCATATTTAGTCCCAATCACCTGAATCATTGGAGTTTATAGCTTTTAATTTAAGTTCACGAAGGCAGCCCTTTAATCAAGCCTATACAACTTCTTAGTTCATTTTAAGTGCAGTGAACTTAAATATACCCTACATTTGAAACATTTGTCCTTAATCAAAACTCTGTGATAACCCTCAAGAGGAAAACATGGCCAACACATCATATTCCTATTTATTCAAGCAAACTAATCACATTTGCAATGGAAATTGTAAGCAGACAAATATATTTAAATGCTCTTCTATGACTTAAGTTTCTCCAGGCTCCCCAAATCTGCAGACTTCTTCATGTTCCTAGACTACGTGGCCTAAGTGGCCTTTTTCTTTTCTGTAATTACTCTTGAGTTCCATCCTCAGGAGTGTGCTCTTGGATGTGTGCATGAGTGTATTTATGTGTGTGTGTGTGTGTGTGTGTGTGTGAGAACATATGGGTATAGATAACTTTTAGGTAGATTCTTTGAGGATCCCTGGTATTCATTTTTGGAAACTGCATTAACCCTTTTAAATCCAGTACAATGCAAAAGGTACTTGTTTTTTCACGATGTAACCTTGATCTAAAACTCTTAGTATTTTGAGACAAACTCAAAAAGCTTCCATTCTCTTGTTCTGCTTACTTTTGTAAGAATAATCCTTATGGCTTCCCTGGCTATATGGTAAATGGTAAGTGGTCTGCCTGTACTATTTCTGTTGTTTTCAGGATTTCTTTTAAAAACTTCCAAGCTCCGCATGTGCTAAAATGCAGATGAGTTTTTAAAATTATATTTCATGCAAGTCCTCAAAAAATGCATTTTTAAAAAGTAGTAATAGAAGGGAAAAACATTTCCTTCCCCTTCACACCCCCCCCCCCCCCGCCCCCCAGTTTGGTTGTAGCGAACATTCCTTCTTCATCATTGGTTGAGTTTGTACATTAGTAACGATGAAATGAAACTAAATGAAACTGTTAAGAGTTAGAGAATGCTCACTCAAGTTCAGAGATGTTCAGATCAAAACTGGGCATGGACCAATAATTTGTGTAAAATTAGCCTAGAACTAAAAGAAATAAATTTGGAGACAAATTAAAGCATTAATAATAATGAAAATTTGGTCTGTAGGACTAGTACACTTAGTATTGATACTCCATTCTTGGATGAGTTGTTGCTATGATCGTATTGTGTTCTTTCTAATGTTCCAAATGGGGCTAAACTGAGGATATGAAAATGAATTGGCCTCCCTTTGGGCCTTCAAGAAAACCACAACCATACTACAGGCTGACTCCTCTCATGGAAATGCCCTAAGTAGGGTTAGTGCCATAATAAGGGCTATGGGGGCATCAGGGAAGGAGACCATTTCTGTGGACGACCGAGGTGGTATTTCAGCAGGAATGGTTGGGGAGAAGAGGGAAGACCCATTCCAGTGATAAGAAACAGCAAGTGAAAGGCAGAGAAATGTTACAGAGTAACCTTGGTCTGGTAGCCTTTTCCCTGGCCTGCCTTGTTTGGGGCCCCTGTGCTGTGGGTGTTCCCCAGTTAGGCCACACCTCTTGAAAGTGTTGGTCAGTCAGTAGAGAACTGGGGGGTGGAGGTGGTGGGAAGGGTTGAAAGCCACAATAAAACATCTAAACAAACTAGGGAGCAGGTCTTTTTGGTTATGGAGTTCTTTATAAGATTGCTGGAGGGGCTCTGACTCCTGCTCCTTTGACCTTTTGTCCTAGTCAAGCCTCTGCTTTTGTTCTGTTCTTAAAGGGAATCATTCCACCCTAAGTTTTCCACTCTTTATGAGGATGAGGCCTGCTGAGCACGGTTTCTTCCAACCCTCCTTGCTCAGCATTTGCTGCTTCATAAGCACCCATCCTTCCTGCCATGATGCCTTCCGGTGGATCTTGGAACAGAGGAATGTGTGACTCTGCAGATGCGTGTTGGTTTTGCTGGGGCTTAAGGGGGCTGTGCCCTCTCTGCAGTGACAGAATTCCCTTAGCAATGTCTTTAACAGCAACTGAGCGGGCCCTGTTTAACCAGACCCTCTTGTTGGGTTAAATCGGCCCAATTAATGGTGGCTCTGGCCTGTTACCTCAATTATTCCCAGTGGTTGATTTGTAGCGTGGTGGTCTGGTTTGTTGATTGGAAACGTTTACAAGATAGAGTACTCATACTCAACCATTTCCTTTGGAAATTTGCTGTGCAGTTGCGTGAGTGAAAATAAGCCCGGATGGTTCCTTTTGACTTTAGGTGCTGACAACATAGCAGAGTTGGCAGTGTTGAAATTCTTAGTAATTTAACCTAAATAAACCACTCTATTTAATGACTGTTATTAGGCTGGTAGCTTTGTCTTGATTTCCACATGTAGTCACAGTTTCCACATGTTATCCATGAAAATTGTTGACTTGATATAAGAGTCAGATATTTCAAGATACACTTACCGTTCTGTGGTAAAATGTCTTTTGCATAAGACTAGCGCAGTACAATTTGTAAGAAAATTGTATAAGTAAGTGTAGAGGAGGAAAAAGTTTTTCTGGACCCTCCTAGGGGTCCCTGGCTGGATTTGAAAATTAAATTGACAAAAACAAATTGACAGGAGGAAAGCATACAAATTTTATTGAATTTTTACTAGTACATGGGAGTCATCACAAGAGAATGAAGACACAGAGAAGTGACCAGGGCAGGAAACATTCCTTTTAGACAAAGTGGATTTGTAAAGAATTGAGATGAAGGGGTTTGGGCCAGGAGTAGTAAATGATGAAGAAGTAACTAGAAGACAAAGGTTAGTTTAACGAGGTTTGTTTGTACAGCTGTCTGGGCCCCCAGATCCCCATCTCTGGTGATAAGAATGTCTTTCCTCCTCCTGGTACAGGGCGGGTACCCTTCACATGGGAGTTACATGACCGATTTCAGGAAAGAGGGTTGTGGGGGAGGAGGTCAGAGTGACCTTCCTGCTTCTGCTCTTTTCTCAGACCCCTTTGGCTTCAGACATTCCATATGCCAAGGTGCTGCGTTTGGTGCGTGTCCTGAACCCCATCATAAGCCTGATTTGAAAAGCCTTGGAGCCCCAGATGCCTATTTAGACGTTTTTCCAAGTTAGACTTGTGATTCTCATATGTCTGAGTCTGGTTACAGTGGTAGGTTGAGCTGCAGAGGAGCTCAGAATTGATGACTTAAGTGGGAAGAGGCTGCGAAGAATATTTTGTTTATTTTTAAGGAGCTCTGGTTTAGTGAGGAGCTAGCCAGGCAGGAGTGGGTTACATGCCTGCTGCTTCCGCTGATGGTGCCAACGTGGACGAGTCTAACTTCTCTAGGTGCTTAGTATCACCCTGTGGAAAGCAGGGACTATCTGTGATGTGTGATGAGCAAATGCAGTATAACGTGTGCAAAACACTTTGGGAATTAGAAAGTGCTATAGGATGGCCAAGAGATGTCTTTGCGGGCTGTGTGACATTTCTACCTAACTGAAAGCTGGGGGACATAGACATTATTTGACTTACCCCAACAAAACATAGTGTGCTTTTCTTGGGGCGCCTGGGTGGCTCAGTTGTTGAGCGTCTGCCTGTGGCTCAGGTCATGATCCCAGGGTCCTGGAATCCAGCCCCGCATCGGGCTCCCTGCTCGGCGGGAAGCCTGCTTCTCCCTCTCCCACTCCCCCTGCTTGTGTTCCCTCTCTCGCTGTGTCTCTCTCTGTCAAATAAATCAATAAAATCTTAAAACAAAACAAAACATAGTGTGCTTTTCTTAAGCTTGTGATCCATTCACTGTTCACCATAATACCTAGCCGGTGTGGCTGCTTAGCCAGATTCTCTGAGCGGTCTTCCTGGAGCCTCGCTATCAGAAGTTTTGGTCCATGGACCAGCAGCATTGGTTTACTTGGGAGCTTGTTAGAATTGCAGCATTTTTGGATGCAGCCCAGGCCAAAGATCCTGTCGCATCAGAATCTGCATTTTAACCAGATCCCCAGGGGACTGTATGCACATTAAAGTTTAAAGTATTGGTCTGGAACTCTCATTACTGTGTAATTAAACGAGCTGCCTTCCTAAGCCAGGGGTGCAGCACCTTTTGAATTGGTTGTAAGTTCAACTTTTTGCAGAATTAACTACATAGTGATAAAATCCAGTATAACTTTTAGGGTTTTAGGATTAATTTTGATTCTGCATTGGG